CAATCCAGAGATGCTCTCAGTCTTTTCTAGGGGAGACGGTAGCGCGTGTTTTTGTTGAAAAAAATAAAACTTCTAAAACTTGTGAACATCTCTTCCGTTAGTTACATCTTTCGACAGTTAGAAAAGGCTAATTCAAAGTCTGGACAAAAGGGAACACTTGTATTTGATGACTTCTCGTTGTAATTAAAGGATCTCAGTCACGGTATTTTGAGTTATTTTGGTCACGAACAAAATTACCTTTAAATGGAAGGAAATCTTTAAATAGTTGTTTACTAAGATAGAAAAACACCAAAGAGATAATAATCAACCATAAAGAAACAAGGATGGTTAGGAATGGAGAAGATTAACACAGATTACAAACGACGAACTTGAAAAATTTAGGCTAAATTTTTCAAGATGCGCAAACCGTGACGTAGCTCCTTTAACATCAAGACAGGTTAATGCTACGGGTTTACTATGAATCACGCCACCTTTCTGAATCAAAAGAGCAGTTAAATGTATTTGTGCCATGTTTCTGCCTAAAAAGCAGTTAAACATTACTCGTCCAGTTTTAGGCTTCTTTAACTCCCTGTTTTTTTATTTCGATTAGTAGCTTTCACAAAAACAAACCCTATTTTACTACAGACTCTGTCGACTGACAGCATGAAATAGAGCGTCATTTAAATTTCATCGTAAACACATCTAATTAGCCTAACTGAGTAGTTCTGCTCACTGAGTGACATGGGTTGCCTTTGAAATCTGGAATACAAATGTGCCGAAAGCGTAAGAATGCACATTACATTGGTAAAGAACAATGTCGTTACGTCATACAGCTGTACATACCTCTTGAAATTTAAGTCTAAATAAACACTGTATATCAGTTAATAACCCTTCGTGACAAGCCGGTGTTTTATTAGCCTTAACCTTAGTGGTTCGAATCACTGGAAGAACGCGTAGATATTGAACACCTCGAAAACCCGGCATGTTTTCTATGTTACTAGCATCATTTTCCATAATTGCTACACTGTTGCCCCTCGTCAAGTCATCAACGGTGTCAACAACCTATGGAGACATCGAAGGTTTTGTGGCTTCTTACTCTGGTTACTCAAATACATCTTTCCCGTTCAAGTCTGTCAGCAAGTTTCTTAGCGTTCCTTTCGCCGCTCCGCCGGTTGGAGAACTCAGATTTAAAGCACCAAAACCGCCATTAGCGTGGAAACCAAACGTTCTCCAAGCGAAGACGCATGGAAATCTTTGCTTGCAAAATGGAGAATTTGACTATTGGTACGAAATGTACACCCAAAATTTTTCATACAGCGAGGATTGTTTGTATCTCGACGTCTACACTCCAAACGTCAGCCTCAGTTTGCCGGTGTTGTTTTATATTCACGGGGGAGCTTACAGAAACGGTGCAGCGGTGACATTTCCTAGCGATATTTTGGCCCTACAAGGAGTGGTGGTCGTTGTGATCCAGTATCGTCTCGGTCCCTTTGGATTCCTGACAACCGGGGATTCTGCAGCCCCTGGGAATTTCGGACTGTTGGATCAAGTCCAAGCACTCAAGTGGGTCAAAGAGAACATCGAACATTTTGGCGGCGATCCCAGCAAGGTGACCATATTTGGAGAAAGTGCTGGCGCAACAAGTGTAACCCTGCATCTGTTGTCGCC